TCCCACAACCCAGCAAACAGGGACTATTAGCCTCGTTTTGCATAAGCGGGAAACTGAAGATGAAGCAATCGTGCCAGGTCTCGCAGCTGCAGATGCAGAGCAGAATCGGAACCCAGAACGGCTGCAGTTCCACTGGGGCTCGGCGTGCTTCCTGGCCTTAAAGGCCTTCAACTCCTAAATTCTGGCCTCGGCCCGACGCCCAGCTAGCCTGGGGGAGCACTCGCCCGCCCCCTTGGAGCCAGTGTAGCAATACCGAGGCTTCAGTATTGACCTGTAGGTGAGGTCTTCCGGCCTCAGTTTATCTATCTGTGAAATGGTGGAACACCGCCTGCTGTCCAGTCCTTCTCACAGGCTCATGCGCCTCCCCCGGCTGGGATGGGATAAACCCAAAGCGGAAACCCTGCGTTAGAGACACAACGGGGATGTCGTTTCTATTGTAAGGTACCTTAGGCTCCACCGGCCTCCCTCTGTTCTTGAAGGCAAATCATCCATGTCAAAGGGGTAAGCTGGTCTGAGTCTCCAGCGCTGAGGGAGGGGTGTGCTTTGTTTGAAAAAGCATGTTGTTTTATGATTTTTATATTTGGAAAACAGTTAATATCTATAAAGAACAGCAGCAGGCCATGCTTTCCTATACACCATGCTGCGTCACTTGAGATTTTGGAATGGCAGCAGATACAGCTCCTCTCTCCTTGTCCCTTACCGCCAGAGCCCAAGAAGCCTCCTGCAGGGAAGAAGATACTTTCACCTCCTCTGGAGGCCTCTGGCTCCCTACTCTGTGAGGAAGCTGGGTCCCCTGCTGTGCTCAGTGGCTCAGCTCAGCCCAGCCTGCCCTATGGTCATTCAAATCCCCAGGACTGCAGTCATCCTGCCCCATAACTAAGTGGTGTCCAGTCCAGAGACCCCAAGTCCAACTACCAGAAGGGAGTTGTGCTAGGTGCTCATCTGCTCACTGAAGAGGGTTCTAAATCTGCAATTTGAGTAACTGGGAAACAAGTGACAGAGTTACCTCCCCCAAGTTGCTAGGGCCAAGAGCCTGCCTAATCCCGGTGCTAGGCTGGGATTGGACTCTGCCCACCATCAGCAAATCACATTAACCAGGAGGCTTAGATTTGGGTGTTCCGGTTAACTGGATTTGATGGATATCTTTTTTATTTTGTGGTTTTTAAGAGAGACAGAGACACAGACATCTATTTGTTGCTCTACTTATTTATGCATTTATTGATTTTTGTATGTGCTCTTACCAGAGATCAAACCTGCAACCCTGGCTTATAGGGACAATGCTCTAACCAACTGAGCTACCAGGCCAGGGCGGTGTGCCGCAGAATTTTAGTAATTAGTTTATGTGTGCTGTGAAGTGAAAAAGGTTGAGAATCACTGACTTATGGAATAAAGCCCCCTCCTTGGCCTGTCATTCAGCACCTGCCATCCTATGGCTTTTTTAAAAAAAGCATATCTTTATTGATTTGAGAAAAAGGGAGAGGGAGTTGAAACATCAATGATGAGTCACTGATCAGCTGCCTCCTGCACGCCCCCAACTGGGGTTCGAGCCCGAAACCTGGGCATATGCCCTGACCAGGAATCGAACCATGACCTCCTGGATCCTAGGTGGATGCTCAACCACTGAGCCACGCCTGGCAGGGCCATACTATGGCTTCCTTAATCCATGTGAAGGGAATGGGAACTTTCATGTGTCAAGCATGGTCTTATGTGCCAGCCCTGTGGGCAGCACTGCTCAAGCAGATCAACTTGATTAGGAGCATCAATGCTGGAGCCAGACTGTTTGGGTTCCAATCCCACCTTTGTCACTCAGCAACTATGCGACTTTGGGCAAATTACATAATCTTACCGTCCCTTAGTCTCATCATTTGTAAAACTGGGATGATGAAATGAGTTTTATGTTGAGTGCACAGAACAGAGCCTAGCACAGAGTAAGCATTACATAATAGCTACTATCAACATAAAGGGGAAAGGCCCAAGTGAGCATGTTAAGTGACCTCCCAAGGCCATACAGCCATTAAATCTGTCCAGATTCCTTTCTCACACTGACTTCTACCTCAAATACCCTTCACTCACCTCTCCTATCGGTTATCCACTGCTGCAGAACAATACTACCACAAACTTAGCAGCTTAAGTCAACTCACTCAGCCCAGCTGGCGTGGCTCAGAGGTTGCGCATCGACCTATGAACCAGGAGATCTCCATTTAATTTCCAGTCAGGGCACACGCCCAGGTCTTGTGCTCAATCCCCGGTATCCCCAGTAGGGGGTGTGCAGGAGGAAGCCCATCAATGACTCTCATCACTGATGTTTCTCTCTCTCCCTCTCCCTTCCTCTCTCTGAAAAAAGAAAAACAAAACAAAACCCAACTCACTTACTGTTTCTATGGCTTAGGATGCTGGGCTCAGCTTAGCTGGAGTCACTGCACAGCTGCAATCAAGGTGTTGGGGCTCATCTGAAGGATCAGCAGGGGAAGGATCAGTTTCAAGCTAACATGCTTTGGCAGTGTTTGCTTCCTTGCTGACCGCTGGACTAAGAGCTTCAGCTTCTGGTTGTCTGTCTGCCTGCTCTTGTCACTGACCTTCCAACTAGAGCAGCTCACACAACATAGCAGCTTGCTTCTTTAAAGACAGATGTTATAATCTCGTGTAATCTAATCATGGAAGCAACATCTAGTCCTCTTTGCCTTGTTCTATTGGTTAGAAGTCACAGGTCTAGCCTACACTCAAAGCTTACACAAGGGTGTGACCACCAGGAGGTGGGGATGGTGAGGGCCACCGAGAGTCTGCCTGCCACACCTCTGTGTATCCAAACCTTCCCACTGTATAGAGAACAGCTCAGGCCTCACAACCCTCAAACCAGTGCTCACCTCCTACCACCATTTTAGCCACTCCCCCCACCAATTTGGAAACCGCCATCAGGGGTATCATTGAAGAGATGCTGGATTCGGTATGGGGGTGTTTCCTGGGGATCTTGGTCCAGTAACAGTTTTTTGCACTTGGTGATGGAGAGCCCCAAACTGTGCCTTGCCCCCCACATACTCAAGGTGCTTCTCAGGTTTGATTCTTAATAACTGTTTCTTCTCAGCTGACTCACCATTACCAAAATGAGTAATGATACTGGGGATATTACCTGATTAAGGTCCAACTACAGGTTGTGCACCTGCTAGCACTTTATATGCCTCATCTGAGTGACACTTAGGTCAAGGAAGGAGCCTGTGGTCACACATCTAACCAGAAGACAGCCTAGCCCCAAAGCCCAGGTCTGTCTCCAGAACCAAGTGCTTACCTTCCATGGCATGTGCTTCTAATGAAGGGACTCCTCTAGGTCTAAACTTCCTTATTCTCAGCCTCCAAGCACTCCGAAGGATGGGACGTAATGGGAAAGAGACATAAAAGCTTTCCCTCCCGAGAATCCTCTGATGCAATTTCCTTACCTTTACTCAAAGGGCACAAGGACCCTCAATTCTAATTTTCTTGGCCCTCTCTCTCCTGAGTGGCTATTTCCATAATTGAAAATAAAAACTACACTTTTCTTACAGAATCCTCAGGCGAAGTGCTGTGGACTTTTTAAATTATATTTTTTGGCCTCCATGTGCCTGTATGCCCTTAGTATTTAGGGAGATGCTTCCACGGGGAGGGATTGGTGCAGCAGGGGTCCTCTCCCACATTAGAAGGCAAGACGACCAGAATGTTCCAGAATGGCAAAGACTGTACTCCTCTAGGTGCATAGGAGAGAAGTGACTGGTTGCCCTAGGGCAACAGGGTCAATTTCTCTCGTTTTGGCCAACCTGACACCCTGGCCCAGACTTTAAATCTGTACATGTGATCGATGGTGAGAGGTGGCTATGAGCTAGCTGTAGCATCCTGGATGGTTTATGGGCCATGCCACCAAAAACAGGTTTGTCTTTGACATACACTGACAGAAGTAAAAATATTTATTTTTTTATCTTAGAAATCTGGTCCCACAAAACGGCCAATACTTTTTTCAGTTCATAATCTTGACCCTTCAAAAAAGAAATCTTTCAATTAAGAGGTAAAGTATGTTGATAAAAGCAATTTTAGAGGTTGCTCAGATAAAATTATTTCTTATAAACCAGCAATACAGGCAACCCTAGAGTTCAGGCAGAGCTCTCTGTCAGTCATGTACAGTCCATGAAGGAAAAAAGAGGCTGTCTGCAAACAAGGCCCTTCAGAAACCAAGGAAACTCCAGTCCACCAGGAACTGTACCATGAGCCTGTGAACCCACAGAGCAGCCAGTGGACAGGAAGGCCGAACTCCCCACCTCCAAGAGAGCACCTTCCACTTTCCTGCCCAAACGCTGTTCCACCCGGCTTCCAGCGCCTGCCGTGGCCCTGCATGGCCTACCTTGCCTGGAAGACATGGAAACCAGGCCATGTAGCTGGATGAAAGCCACTGCCCGCAGCTCAGAGCAGTGCCTGCGGCCAGAAGTGAGGACAGCTTTCAGAGGCCCTGCTGGGACATATCGCAGGAACAGTCTCTTTTGCAAAGATAACAAGTTAGTGCAGATCAGCACATGAGCAAAGCATATTAAAAATTTTAGAAAGCTGGTTAACACTCTCAATTTCCCTTCTGATTGTCTGTTCAAGCTGCAGCCTATAAACCTGCTAGAAGTCGGGAAGGAAGCCCTCCTCGAAGGTGCCTTGCCGGAGTAGCTGTAGCCAGTGGGAGTGCAGAAAGCTCCCCTTGCACACAGCGATCCCATGACGCCTGTAATCCCTGAGAAGGGCTGATGTGAATCCAGGCAGCACACTCAACCCCTTCTTTTGCTTTTGGGGGCCTGTGTTTATTATGGGTCACTGTGATGGAAGAAGTAGTCTCAGAGTCTCTCTCACGTCAAGAGGATAGACAGGGACAGGGATCCTGGAGCTTTTCCTCTCCTGTGTTTGGTTGCACACTTGAGTCCCAGGAAACACTGTGACATGCCCCTTGACTGCCTAGCATGCCCCATCCGTGGAATCAGGCAAGGAGAGGAGCAAGTCATGCCCGGAACAGGCACAGGCTGGCCAGGGGCACTCCGACCTCCTTCCTTCGGCCCAGGAGAGGCCGCTCCTTTCCAGAAGTTGTATGAGAATAAGAGTTGTGCTCAGGTCAGAACTGGACCCAGTCTGTGCCTGGCTGAGTCTGGCTGGAAGTTGCCCTGTAAGGGGAAGACAGGGAGGGGTGGGAGGGTTTAGATGTTTGAAGATACAGAGCAGATGAAAGGTGGTTTCTCTGTGGACAAAAAGAACTCCAAGAAGTCAGCCCCTGAATATTCTAGAGCAGAGGCCAGCAAACTATAGCGCAGGGACCAAATCTAACCCCCTTTAATTATAAAGTTTTATTGGTATACAGCCATGTCCATTCATTTACACATTGTCTGTGGCTGCTTTTGAGCTGTAAGACCTGAACTGAGTAGTTGGAGCAGAGTCCATGTGGCCTGCAAAGGCTAAACTATTTGCTATCTGGTCCTTCATAGAAATGTGTGCTGACTCCTGTCCTACAGCCTGTCCACATAAACAATGACGCAGTAGGATTTGAGCATCCTGGCCCCAGGTAAAGGCTTAAAATTTTATGAGTCAGAGAAGGCAAGAGACCTTGCCTCAGGTCCCATAAGGATGGGCCAAGGTTAGAACCCAGCTTAACTCTCAGTCCAGTGTTCTGGAGTAGCTGGGGGCAGGGGGGGAGAAGGAGGTACTGGGGATAAGCCACAGCACTTGGTGAGGTGGTTTAAAGGCCAGAAAGAGTTGCACAAAGTGGCTCCAGCCCACCTAGCAGTGGAGAGCAACCAAAAGCCTTCATGGAGAGAAATGCACAACCCAAGCAGGTGTTCTGGGGCTCTGTCCCCTGGCCCAAGCCCCACCACAGAGAATGTGACTGTCCTCACCCTGTGGATTTTGCGAAGTCTCCCCAGATGTCGGTGCTGGCAGCAGTGGCAGGTGTGGGCTGTGGCCAGGACACAGTGGCACCTCCTACTGATGTCCCCAAGTCCGATGGGTAGGAAGAAAAGAGGAGACAGGAGTCAGAGATCTTTTTGGTTGTCTCAATGACCCTGATATCAGTCTTATAATCCCAGGTGGCTGAGAAAGACACACGCAGAGACGTGCTTTTGGGCAACATAACACCACAAGTTGCCACATTTCTACCATTTTCTCCCGAGCCCTTGAGGGCTCCTGGAGAAAAAGCAGAAAGCTACCACCTACAAGGTGGAGGGGAGGGGGCTAGTGAAGGGTGGGCCACAAACCATCTGTCATGCATGTCTGAAGCTGACCCTGCTATTAACGGTTTTTGTTGAAAATCTGTTTAAAATTTACGATCTCCTGCCCTGGCTTCTTGAATGGAAAATGCCCACTCAAACTGCAAGGTCATCTTCATATGAAGCCCTCAGTCCAGTGTCCACATCAACCAGCTAAGAACACTGTGTGTCAGACACGCGCGAAGTCCCGGAAGCCAAGCTGGCTAGGGGCGCAGTCCAGGAGAGGCACCGCAGAAGCCGCTGTCTGAACCTCTTCACCGAGGCAGGTGGCATAATGGGGCCTCAGTGCCTGCTTCTGTGCTGTCCGGGCACCTCCCCAGACAGTGCTGCCAACAGTCCCTTCTGAAGTCCCAACTGTCCCTGTGCCTGCCACCCTCCTCTGCCTTCCTACCAATTTGTTATTTCTAATCTGCTCTGGGCTGGGAGACCAGATAAAACTCAGGCCCTTGTCAGTTTAGTTTTACAGTTCACATGCTTAACAGCCATTATCTCAATGGAACCTCACCACAGTGCCTGGGGGAGGACATGCCAGCACCTGCTGTGTGACTTTCTGCAGGTCACTAACTCTCAGTTTCCTTATGTCTAAAATGGAGACAAGAACAGTGACTACTTCAGAGGACTGTTTGAAGATTAAATAAATTAATTTAAATGGAATGCTTCGAACAGGCCCAGCACACAGTGACGATAATGATGACAATGTTAATAAAATGAGGGCTAACAAATGTGAGAACTTACAATGTTCATAAGGGCTACACACGGACTATCACATTTGATCCCTACAAAAGACCTATACTGTAGGCATCATTACTACCCTATCCTACAGAGGAGAAAGCTGAGGCACAGAGAAGTGGCAATTTTTTGAATATCACACTCCTGGTAAGCTAGAATGTGAACTCAGCCAGTCTGTTTTTGGAGCATATGGTAAATAAATGTCAGCTAATCATGACTCTTATTACCCAGCACCATTTACTTTGTAGACATGCTAACTGCCTTTCCTTCACATTAGCACATAAGTCCTTGAGAGCAGGGACTTGGTGTTATACTGACAGTATCCCCAAGGCCTAAAATGCTACCTGGCACACAGCAGGTCCTTCATATTATCTGTTAAAAATGCACCAGCAACCAAGGGAAAGCCTAAGACAGTGGCTCTCAGACCTTAGTGCACGTACAAATAATGTTTAGAACACAGACTCCTGGCCCCATCCCAAGCAATGTCCAGGTAGATGTCCTGTGACCTCACTGAGAGCCAATGTTTAAAGAATAATTCCTGGGTAGGGTGGGGTGGGGTAGGGGGCTCGCTGCCTGCTGCTCCCGCCACTCCTCTAGGCTGGGTGTTCCCCACAGGGCTGAAGTTTGAAGCCTGACCTCTAGAGAGAGGAACCCTTTACCCAGTGTGGGCAGGATCAGCTCTGCTGGGCTCATCTTCCAGTTGGTCACATACAGCTACTAAATGACAGATAAATGAGTGAAGGAGGGAAAGCCATGGGCCCTAGCTGCCGGTAGGAAGAGGAGCTCACAGGTACAGACCTGGCAGCAGGTTGTCACCCCCAAGCACTGACCTGAACTGGGAGCAACTGTTGGCTGGGCAAGGGATCCCCCTACAGACAACTGCTCCCCAGGGGGAGGGATGAGGGTGGAGGTTTTCGGCCCTGGGGGTGGGGGGAGCAGGCTCAGTCCTCCTGTGCTGGCGGGCCGGGCTCGCGGAGTCCCAGCTGCTCCTTCCTTCTTCTTCATGTTCTAGAGAGAGGAGAGGAATGTGAACCAGTCAGCACTGCTATCGGAAAACCCCACAGGAGGGCCAAGGTGACCCCCAGGACAGAGGGTCAAGACCTGTCCAACACCTTCCTTGTTACAAGATGTATTCAATGTGTCACAATTCTGAAGCTATCACAAACACATTTAATTTTAAAACCCAGCACCCAAATCTAATAATCATCAGGGAAAGGCAAATCAAACCTACCATGGTACACCATTACATACCCACCAGAATGGCTAAAACAGAGAACAGCAAGTGCTGACAAGGGTATGGAGCAACCAGAACACTCATACACTGCTGGTGGAAGTGTCAGGTGGGTACACACCTCTGAAAAACTGGACATCTGACCTGATGGCCCTGCAATTCCCCTCCCAGGTACAGACCCAACAGAAATGCACACATCTGGCTCTGGCTGGGTAGCTGAGTTGGTTAGAGCGTTGTCCTGATACGCCAAGGTTGTGGGTTTGATCCTCAGTCAGGGCACATATAAGAATCAACCAGTGAATGCATAAATAAGTGGAACAACAAATCAGTGTTTCTCTCTCTCTCTCCCCCTTCCTCTCTTTCTCTAAAATCAACAAATACAAAAAAAGAAAAACAAGAAAGAGATGCACACATCTACGCACTGAAAGACATGCACTCGAAGATTCTCAGCAGTACTACTTGTAACAGCCCCATACTGGAAACTACCAGAATGTTCACCATCAGTTAAATGGGTAAATCACTGGATACATTCTCACAATGGGATATGCCACCACAATGAGAATGAGTCATGCGACAGTGTCGAGGCTCTCACAATACCACATCAGTAAAAGAAAGAAGTCACACACAAAGGAGTACAAAGTGTATGATTCAATGAATAAAAGTTGAAAACAAAATCTAGGGCATTCAGTCAGGATAGTGGTTACTTGAGGTAGGTAGTTACTAGGAGGGAGCAGCAGAGGGGCCTTCCAGGGTGCTGATAACCTGCTTCTTGATCTGGGGGCTGGTCTGTGTGGGTAAATTCAGTTTTTAAAAATTCAGTAAGTTCTGCATTTACAATTTGTGCACTTTTCTGTATGCATATACTTCAATAAAACATTTTTTAAAAAAATACAGAAAAAACAAAAACCTGAGCACCAAGCATGAGCCAGAAACCAGTATGAGTTACAAAGATGAAGATGACCTGGATCCCTACTTGTAAGGAAAGCAGCGGCTTAATCAAATGCTAAAGCCACAGCCCCAACTCAAAAGCCCTCAAAGAGCTCAGTGTAAGTCCAACTATGCCAGTTTTCTCGTTCTATGACCCTGGGCAAGTCCTGTAACCTCTCCAAGCCTCAATTTCCTTGCCTGTAAAAGGGGAGAATGTTTAATTCATGTGAGAAAGTGCCGGAAAACACTACCTGGCACACAGCTGCTCAGTAAATGTTAGTTTCCTCCCAGCAAGAGAAAGAATCACATCCCAACCAGTCCACTGGATTTGACCTGCATTTTCTCTTAAGGGCCAGATGGCCAACTTCAAGGTCCCAAATCATCACTAGCACGAAGCAGAAAAGAGGAGAAAGAGATAGTAAGTAAAGAGGAAGAGTATTATTTTAGGGTTAAAAAGTTTCTTCAAAATCAAATCCATTTGGTCCTTGGTTCCCCCAAATCATTCCAACGCCACCCCTGTAGCAGATCAAGGCCAAGTCTTGGCAACCTAGTCAGTCCAGCCTGTTCCTCTTCTTGACAGCAGCTAAGGGGGAAAAGCCAGATGCAGGGCAGCTTAGGACAAAGACACAGGGAGCCAGACCACCACCAGCAGAAGGTGCTCATGACTCCTCGTGCCCATCTTGATGCCTCCCTGCCCACAGCACCCCCAAAGCTTCCTTACTCAAGGTGCAAGGCCAAGCTGCAGCTTGGAACAGGCACACTGACACACACTCTAACAGCCAGGACAAAATTGCCAGCTCTGGTAACAAGTGACTGAAGTTCCTCTTCAATTCAAAGGCTTTGCACATGCTGTGCCCTCTGCTTCAACCACCCTTTGACCCTTCCTCCCTCTTTACAGGCCGCTTCTTCCAGGAAGCCTTCCTTGAATCACCTAACTCTGGGCTATATGCCTTTTCTCTAGGAACTCACGGCACTGAGGACATCCCTACGTCATAGAACCTCTCCTGCCATGTTGTAATCACATCGTGACTTGCCCATCTTGGCTCCACTCTGAGAGGACAGCAGTGCCCTTTCATTCATGCCCCCATGTAGTTCCTGGAACAAGGTAGCTGGTCAATAAACATCTGCTGAGCTGAGAGAACTGAATTGTGAGAAAGAACGATGGGCTCTGGGCTGGGCTAGGTGTGGTGGCCACAAGTATCATCTGATCATGACAATACAGTCAAGCAAGGGCGGGACTCACCGCAATGTTGAGCTTGATGGTCTGACCCTCCTTGAAGCCTAGGTCCAATTTGGGGCCTTGGTCTGGGTTCTGGGCTTGTTTTGCAAATTCGCACTGCTGTTTCACCCACCTGGGGAGAGGGAGACCAAGGTGAAGAAGAGACCAGTTGCCCTGCAGTCACACACTCACTTCACTACCTGTCATCAGTCCAGGACGAGGCTTTTATTTCAGCAGGTGGTAGAGAAGCGCAGACTTGGGAGTTAGGCCTGAATTCAAATCCTGTCTGTGACACTTAAGAAGCTGCATGCATATCAGTTTCCACATCAGCAAAATGGGTTGACCAGTCTATAAGTCTTAAAGCGAGCTATGGAAATTCAATAGGCTCACCTATGTGGAGGGTCCTAATGCTGGTCTTCACTAAATCTGAGAACTTGGCCTTCTACTCCCAGCACTTGGCATGAGAACTAAGGTAAGAATTCCATCCCTAACCCCCACCCCAGGGTGCATGAAGTAGATGGTAGGACAAGACAGATGCTAGGAAGGAGAGAACAACACAAAGGTCCCCCACCTTCCATAAAACACCCATCCAGTAGCCACCCGGTGCAAGGGCACCAGCACAGGCAAGAGCCAGAGAGGCCTCCATGTGAATGGCCACGTCTTCCCCACTTGCCGGAAGCCAGAGGTGGAGGCTTGTAGATGGCAGGGAGCAGTCTTTCCTACCCTGCCTTTTAGCTCAGAAAGGACCACCAGGGCATCTCCTGGGTGGCCTGGGAAACCAAGCACCACTTACTACATCACAGAGGAACAGGCCCAGAAAAGCCACAGAAGCCTGACAAGGACTCTGGCTGCTCAGGGGCTGGTAAGGGAAGAAAGGTGACCCTTCAAAGTCTGGGCTAGCTGAATGGGGTAGCAGAGATGGGCTTCAAGAAAAGGACATGACTTCAAAGCAGAGACGAGGCTTGGCAGAATGCAGAGAAGCCAGCCTGTCCTAAAAGAGGGGGCATGAGCACGTGTCTGGAACCACTCACTTGAAATGGTCCTGCAATGCAACATTGAAGTCAAAGGCATCACCTCGGTCCCCAAAGCCAAGTCCAATAAACGCCCGTCGTCCTAGAGGATAACACATGATCAGTCCCACTTAGAGGCAGAGGAAACTTTCTCACAAGGAGGAAGCACCAAAGCCCCCGCATACCATTTTCATCTTCGATGCGGATAACGAAGTACCTGCTGGAATCCGTCACGCTCTCCACGGCTGTGCCAGGAAACTGATCCACTGGGGCCTGAGCAAAGAGCTCCCCTGAAAGCACAAGACAGGGTGAGCCCTGAGCCCACTCTAGCCTGATGTTTCTACCATCTTACTGGGGCCTTTTACCCATGAGGCAGATGGGCAAACCCTACTCTGGGATTCAAATCAAATCCATTCTGGCTGAAGGGAAGACACAGGAATATAACCAACGCAACGTTTCAGTCAGAGGTGGCTTAGTTTTAGTATTTTTCATTTAACTGCCAAACACTTGAAAATCAAATTACACATAAAATAATCCAATTTCTGGCTTCTCTTAAAATCAAAGCTGTACAATGCTGGGCCTCCATTCCTACAGAATGATGGGCTGGAGCTGCTGGCCACCCATTCCATCTGCCTCACCCATTTACATTACTTGCCTACACCCTGAGGGCCCTGGAGCAGGCGGGCCTGGTCCAGGTATATCACAGCTTCAGAAAAGACTTGGTACCTGAGGCAGGACTGTAGAGCAGCCAGTGAACCCAGTGGAAAGCAGGGAGAAAGTTTTTGCACCCACAGAAGAATCTGAAGCAGGCTGATTTAATCTCAGAGAAGAGCAAGAGTGATTGGTTTTAAAAGGAGTCTTTGTGAAATGCAGCCTCTTGTCAACTATGCTCTCCAGGGTGCAGTGCGACACATAGCTTTTGTGAGGATTTGTGACTGGCATCACTTCCTCATGTGCTGATCTTTGTTGGTGCTTTAAGTATCTAACCAAATATTTTCTACTGAAACCTGTGGTTTAGCGGTGACTGAGCTGAATCAGAATCCGTGGGCCTACAGTCTGTAGCTTCTTGTTAATTTCTCTGCCCCTCCCCTAGTTTGGTACCTGGGGATCCGGGACTCACCTGGATGTCTTCAACCTGCAACAGTGGTTCTCGATCAGGTATGATTTTACTACCCCCTCCCGCAAGGGACATCTGGCAATGTCTGAAGATATTTTTGGTTGTCACAACTTGGAGGATGGGGGGCTACTGGCATCTAGTAGGTAGAGGCCAAGGATGTTGCTAAATATCTTAAATTTGACTTGACAGCCCACAACATTCACCTGGCCCCAAATATCACTAGTGCTGAGGCTGAGAATCCTTGGCCTAGAGTGATTGGAAAGTGAGAGTCATACATGACCCAGTGGGCATGACCCCAAACTAAGAGCATCCTGGGCGAGGCTCAGCCCTGAGCAGTGGCTGGCTGCTACAGTAGGTGGTTACCGTAAAGTCAGTTCCCAAGGCCGCCAGAAAACAGGTGTTGCCGTTCCCTTGTGACACTACCTGGGACATCCCAGCAAACCTCACAGAGTTCTCTGGCCTCACCATGGCAGCTGTCTCTTCTAACTCCTCTGCAGACAATACTCACCCTGCCAACCCCATGCTCCAGAACAAATCAATGCTTTGGGTCACCTTGTAGTTCACAAAGCAATTCTGGATGAGTTTCCAACAACCTGGTGAAGTAGGAACTAATGTGATCCCTATTTCAACAGAAAGGAGGCCAAGGCGCCAGAGGTTATGTAACTCACTCAAGGTCCCACAGCTCAGACACAAATGACACAGTGCTGAGAATTCATTTGCCTATGAATCTTTGCTCTTTGTTCTACTCCATGAAGGAAAATTTCTACATATTAGAAAAATAGATGACCAAATGCCAAGGCACCTGACCAAGCAGGCACTGTGCCTGATCCCTGCTCTGGGGGCTGGGCTATTCCAGGCCATGCTGCCCTCCACAGCCTACCCAGAGGGACTGGTGGCACAGGACTTCCAGAGAGATTTCCCCAAAAGTGCCCTTTGCCAGCTTACCCCACCACCACCCAGCCTGGCTTCTCCTCTCACCACAGAAAGAGCTAAGGAGACAGTTTCCAGCTCTTTCAGTTAATGGACGTGGTCAGTCTGGGGAGTTACCATTTAGTTGATCAACAGAATCCCTAAGAACCTGAGCTAGGCGGCAGAGGGCTGTGCGTCTTCACTCAGCTTATCTCAAGGCAACCTCTGGGGCTTCTCACTTGGGACCAACCTGTAGGTCTCCTCTCCTTGGCCTCCAAAATTAGCTTCTTCTTAAGTACCCCCCCCAAACAGATGCTTGGCAAGAAATATTCCCTTAATGCTTATGGACATTGGTTACTAAAATTAAAGGTGGGGAAATGGAGGCTTAAAGGTACACGAAGGTCTTTGATTTCCAGGACAGGTTCCCATGACCCCAGAGTGGCCCAATCAGGCCTGGGCCGCCTTTCCCTTCAGAGTGGGAGGCCGGCACCTCAGCCCCAAGCAGGCCTCCCTTGTCTTTACCTGAGGTCCTGTCCTCCAGCTTGATGTAGGCCACCTGCCCTTTTGCAGTGATCCGCAGCCGGCCACTCCATGATGGCTGGTCCAGCTGCCACTCCGCAGCCCTAAGGGGACAAAAACCACTGAGCCTCTCACTCCATTACTCCAATGCTGGGGGTGGGGACAGGAAGGGCACGTAGGCTGCTTGCTCTAGACCAGGGGGTTGGCAAACTTTCTGTAAAAAGTGTCACATGACCTCTGTCATGACTACTGACTCTGTGATTTACCAGTGAGGGCAGTCCTACCCGTACATGAGTGTATTGGTGCTTTAAGGGTTGTAACCAAATGGTCTGAGTGTGGCTGTATTTCAGTGAACTTTGTTAACATCGAAATCTGAATTTCATATAATTTTCACATCATGAAATAGTCTTCTTTAAAAAATTCCACAACTATTTAAAAATGTAAAAACCATTCTTAGCTTGTGAGCCATACAAAAACGCAGTGGTTCACAGTTGGCCAACCTCAGTTCTAGGTTATAGAGACCTTCTCTGAAGTAGGACTCCCAGTTTTCTTTCTGTAGAGGAAGTAGCTCCTGGGACCTGTTTGTTTAGGACATTGCTAGGCAGCGGTGGCCAGAGTGACCATTTGGGACCACTGAGATCAACTTGGAGGAAAACCAGAGAGGGGAGCAATCCTTAGTCGAGAGCAAGAGCACACATGAGGAAAGTGAATGGGTGCTGGAGAAACATATGCTCAAAGGCATCCTAGGCAGAAAGAAACCCAGGAAACCATGGACCTATCACAAACTTTTAAGCATTAAGTTCACATTTTAGTTCTAAGAAGCTCAGTAAAACCCCCAAATAGCAAGAACCTTGGGTGTTTCCACAATACTTTCCTTGGAAATCCCTAAGCATATGCCAGGACTCTGAGAGGCACCATAACTGTGGAACAGGTTCTTTGGAAGGCCATACATATGCAGACTCTCAATTCACAAGTCAGCAGACTTAGTTTCAGTTCCTCTTACTAGGGCAGCAGGCCTTAGATTCAGGCTAAGCAGGCTCTGAAGTTGAAGGGCAAAGGCCGGCACTTTCCTCTATGCCAAATCAGCCAGCCCTGACACTTGGTATCCTCACTTTCTAGGGGTCCAAGGAGGACCAAACCTAGCCTACTGAAGGGGATGGGGTTGACGACCATCCCTGGTTTGGTGGCCCATCTCCAGTCTGATGAGAGAAAGCAAATGTGTTTTTGTTACTGGAACTATTGGTGCTTCCTTTTTAATCTTTTCTGTTAATCCTTACCCAAGGATATTTTTTCCGTTGATTTTTTAGAGTGGAAGGGGGGGAGGAAGGGAAGGAAGGGGGAAGGG